TGGCATGATGGCACATTCAAGGCACAATCTATCCTTTTCCTCAGTAAAAACATTAATTTTTTTTGATAACCAGTAAGAAGATTAATTTTAATCATTCATGGAACCCAGACGCTACAATGAATACACACAAAGGTCTGAAACTCTCTTAGCTAAATGAAAAGCACTATCTATCATCAATTGCTTCTCTAAGAAACATTTAATTCTAAGTTACATTTAACACTCTTCGGGACAATTAAACAAAAGGGAACCCAAAGAGTCCAGAAGATTTAAATTTCCACTGCACAACCCCTTATAGTCAAGAGAGATCAAATAACACAATCAGAATCCTACCTTCTCGGTGAAGAAATAACATATTGCCTTGATTCCATATTCCAGTTCATAGGCCAAGGAAACTTTTTTGTGTTAACGTTTCCATCGCATCCCCAAATTAGCTATACTCTACTCCTCCCACCATCCCTTCCCACCACTAACACCTCACCTCCACCCCAACCCCGCCTCCACACCGTCTATTCCACCACAATTTAATACTTTAGCAAATTGGTTTTTATATTGATTCATTTTAAACTTTCTAGGTAACTCTGTCCACCAAAGCTTGGATAAATGGGGACCTAGTATTTTTGCCTCCACTGGGAATCTGGGATAGGGGATTGGACTGATCTAGTTCATCTTATTATCTATTCTATGTGGTCCTGATTAGCAGTGAATTACTTGTGCACCCGCTAATTGTCTCTACAGTGCGTTCAAGTCCCTTGACATGCATATTAACTATTGACCATTTGTTTAGCTGTTTTTTTTTAATCCTGAATTTTTTTGGTTCCTTTTCCTTTTTATCTTACTCTAAATGCTTGCATTAACATGCTCTAATGCTTTGCAGTTTTTACTTAGATCATGCTGCCTCCCTCCCTTATTTCCTTGAAAAGGTTTGTTCAGGGGTTCAAAATCTTTTTTACTTGCAACTGTTTAGTACTTCTTTTGTTGATTCATATTAGCTTCTTTTATTTTCAGACTACATTTAAAGGGCGCGTATTTATGACTCATGCAACAAAGGCCATGTACAAGTTGCTTTTGTCAGACTATGTTAAAGTGAGCAATGCCTCGGTTGAAGATATGTTGTTTGATGAACATGACATTCTTCGCTCCATGGACAAAATTGAGGTTCGTTTTCAACATCCCATGATTGATCTCCAAGCAGTGACTGATTAGTCGTCATGCAGACACTTATGAATTTGATTCGTCATCATGTAGGCATACCATCACTTTGCATAGGGTTGTTGTATACTTGTATTTATCCCAGAGTTATAGGTTATGCAAATGAAAATGTCATCATGCTGACATTTATGCACTGAAGAAACATCTTTTACCTACTCTAGTATAAGGTTTCACATCGTGTTAAGTACTTTCGTGGAACAGAGGTAGCGCAGTCCAACTTAATTGTGGCTATCTGGCATATGAAGCATGCCCTCGATATTTTTGAGGAGATTGAGATTGTGGAACCTAATGCTAAGTTATTTCTAGGATAAGGGAGCATTTATCAGATCTTGGATGCTGCAGGAGGTTTTTTTGATAAGCCATTAGCTAGGATAGTAAGTTCCTATAGTATCATCATAATAGTTATTTGGACGTGCATTTTAGTGGTGCGTGGGCTCGTACATGAAGATTGAGGACATACTAAGATTCAGTTTCTTGCTTATATATGCAATATCGTATCACAGAGCCCTGGGCCGACCTGTAGGTATGCTAACGTAAAGCGAGGAGCCTGAACCTGCATAGATTATTGGTTATTGATGGATACTCATCTAAAGGAGATCTTCTTTCAGATATTATGTTTTAAGTTATGTATCAAAAAAGGGGAAAAAACTATCTTAATGGGATTTAACATACCTTATCAAAAAAGTAGTTGTCTTAATGGGAGAAATCCCTTTTCTTGAAAATATAAGTATGATATAGTTACTAATATCTCAAAAAATAACTTTTTCCTAAAAAAAAGTATGGTATAGTTACTGCGTCAAGTGTGGAGGTTGAATATAAGGATGTACATTGATTTCATATTAGCTTTTGATTAAAGTAGTTGGAAGAGGAGGTGAAGTTTGGGACAGCGATGCAGATTAAGCTGATTTAAGATAATCAAATTGCAATGCATATTCCTTTTAAGCCAATATTCTCATCTGCAGGAAAAAACAGTTTACATGTATGTCTTCATTATTTTTGTTAGCTTACTTAGAAATGCTTGTTAGTAATTATGATACTTCTCTTTATTTCATGTACCTTAGATTCCTATATGAGGAGCTCTTTCCTATACGCTTTCTTCTCTAATTCAATGGTAGCTTCTCTTTTATCATGTAATTAAACATTTTAACATGAAAATAAGTTCAAATGAAGCAACATGTTCGAACCCTGCCCCAGACAATAGCTTGGTATTTAAGTTGGGGAGTAGAGGGGTGGGCCCATCATCCACTTAGCTTCGAACCGTGCACCGCTGACCTCGATAATTTCTCAATTATCTAGTACGTGTGCTGGTGGGAGGTAGCAAGGATTATCCCATGGAATTAGTCAAGGTCCGTGCAAGCTCGCCCGGACACCATGTTTATTTAAAAAAAAATATCAGTCCACTCCCTCCACTCAACTAGTCAATCCTACCACGGCTCCATAAAACAATAAATAACTACAACAACAACAACAAACCCAGTATAATCTCATGAGTGGAATCTGGGGAGGGTAGTGTGTACACAGACCTTACCCCTGCCTTGAGGGTAGAGAGGTTGTTTCCGATAGACCCCCGGTTCAAGAAAAGAAAAAGAAAGTAGTAACAACCAGCAATACCAACAACAACATAATAAGAAAACAAGCAGTAACAATAACAAGATAATAAAAGCACAAGCAGTAACAACAACAAGTTAATAAGAAAACATGTAGTAATCAAGACTGTCAATAACCGAATACAAGGAAAACAATAAATAACTATTGAAATAAAAAAACAACTCTATCCAGGAACCATTGACATAATCAAAGCCACAACTTCACAATTGGAAGGGTGGGTGACAATTAAAAAGAACTACTAGTAAAGCTTTTTTTCTCTGAACATTGGCCGTTTTGCTTCTAATAACTCGTCAAGGGCTCTTTGAAGCATTCGTCCCCTATTTGCACCATTTTATCAATAATAACAAAAATAATTTCAAATAATGATGAGCTAGTCCATTGATGACTTCAAACCATTTGAAGTTTGTGCACTTACAAACATGTGAGAGTATAATCACAAAATGAAAATCTTCTTTTTCAACTGATAGGTATGTAATCACGAACATAAAAAATATTACAAGTCAGCGCTGAGAACGATATAATAAGTTACTTCCTTTGTCCCATATTATGTTTGAACCATTTTAAATGAGCAGAACAATAAAGAATTAGAAAATAGCACCTTTGGTCCTTACGTTACCAGTTAATTCCAATTTTAGTCCTTGTGATATTAGACGAATCACATTTAACCTTTAGTTAAACAATATGAGTACTTTTGGTCCCTTCACTAAAGGAACTTAAACAAACAACTGACAGTAGCTACTAAGAGGCGCAATTTGGATATTACAGGTACAACTTTCAGCAACAAAACCTCACAAAAGAATAATCTAATTCTAACATTTAATTAACATTGTCTCCCAGAAAAGAAACCCTTTTCCTCCCATCTTCCAACGAAAGATTAGGTTTTTTAGTTGGTTAATGGCAGTGCTTTTTTTTTTTCTTTCTCTGAGTCCTCTTGTATAAGAAGATCCGCCAAAAGCTCTACCAAGAACACATAGAATCGCCCAAACATAATAGCCCATAATATTAATTCTACTTAGTTGTGCATCTTCTTTCGTCTTTATAATTTGTTTTCGTCTTGCGTTGAAACTTAACCACTCTTCTTCTGGAGCCTTAGCAACATGAACATAAAGAATCAAACCAATATACAGTCAAAACTCAAAATAAGCTCCACCATGAATTTAGCTCAGATGAGCTTTGCATTTGTTTAAGCAATAGAACACTTTGGGAGAAGAAGTACCGTACTGCAATACCTATTCAATTTATAGAACTAAGGCACAGAAAACTTACTGGGTAATGAGAAGAACATCAATAGTTGAAGGATCAATTTCATCAAAATACGGCAAAGCAGCCATGCCTGAGTAAGCTGGACGAATGCCACAGTCAAACTGCCAAAAAACAAATAATCGAGTTCAGAACTTGTGGCCCAAAAAAAACGAGTTTGAAGAAGAATGACAAAGAGTGTAGCCTACCAAGACTCTTTTTCCTTTGAAAGACATGTAAACACATGACCGTCCCACTTCATTCCCAGACCCTAAAGGAGTGATCATGAGTTTATCTCCTTCTCTGTTAAATGCAGGACTAGGTCTCTTCAAAGATGACTGTGGTTGTCCAGTAGACGCCATTCTTACATCCAAAGAACATATAAATCAAATTATGAAAACACTAATTTTCATGCAAGAGATAAATAATAAGAAGAAATCCAAAATTTAACTGGTTAAACAATCATTCAGCTTCATTATACCAAAACCATGAGTGTCAAATGAATTCATCTAGTACGTGTCAATCCTAAATTAGTTGACAGCTATAGGAGTCCTCCGATATCCATTTATGCTCTATTCAACATAGTTTGAGGAATTTTAAGCTGGCTGCCAACCTACTGCAAAACCTACTTAGGGTCCATTTACTATATTGTGTGGTTCACGCAAAGAAAAGATCAATTAAAATAGGCGCTGATAGAATACTACTCAGTAAAATTGAAAACGAAACATTGAACAAACACAATCACGAAAAAGGCAATGTTTTTGGGGTAATTTTTACCAATGCCGGCAAAAAACGAAATTGGCAAGCGAGAAGAATGTTGAATCATCAAAAAGTTTAATATTACCAATAAGAACAACGATTCAAGAGAGAATAAGAGTTAGGAACCTGAACCCTAATAGCTTGTTTGGATTGTTGTTACATGTAAATGTATCGTATTGTATTGGATTGTATTATTTGATTAATACAGATAAATTGTGCCGTGCCAACAATACAAAGAATAAAATTATAATATTATTAAAAAAAAAAAAGTAGTGTAATGATAAAATATGGTTATTTAACAATAAATCAAGGACAAAACGAAAAGAAAAAGGCACCACGCCAAATTTATCGTTTTTGATGTTACGTACGGATATACAATATAATAAAATTAAATAACAATCACAATAAATATTATATTTAAAGTTACAATACGATACAATTACGTCTATTCGAACCATCCAAACAAGCTGCACGTACTGAACCGAAGACTGAAGATGCTTACAAGGTCTATTCGAGTATTAATTACTTCCGGCTGGAAATTCGTCGGGTTTTCACCGTAACGCCGCCCGAGGTAGAGAGGGAGAGGAAGCGCTGTTTTGCAATAAACGTTTGAAATTGAAATTGTGCTTACAAGCTCTCTTTTTCACTTTTTCACTTTGTCTCTTTATTTTAGGAATTATAAATTAAAATGGACCGGACCTGAGAAGTGTCCTCTTGTCCGGACGGATCGGACCGTCCCTCTGTTATGTTATTGAATTGAATGTTCTTTATATTTTTGGGATATTAGAAATCAACACGGAGAAGGAGAGAATGCATTCCAATTGTGGTGGAAGAAATTCATAAGAAAGAACACATGCCACCCTTATAAAAAAAGTTAAAAAGGGGTTTTATAATTATTGTCACACCTCCTTTTTTCCGGGATAGGGGATAGGAAGTTTTTCCAATTAAAGTGACATTATTCGAAATATGATTATTTATTTATTCAAAGTCGCTACTTGGAATAATTTATGGTATCCCAAGTCACCGATTTATTTTAGAATCCCAAATCGAGAAAATTTGACTCTTATTTATGGTCTGCGACACAGAAGACCGGGTAAGGAATTCTATTAACCCGAGAGAAGGTGTGAGGCACTCCCGAGTTCCGTAATTTTAGCACAGTCGCTCAACTATTAATAATTGGCCTAGTTATCTGATTTAATACATGTTTTAAACATATATGCGCATTTTTATTCCTTTTAACCGTTTTTAATTATTTATGAAACTTATTTGTACAAGACGCGATGTCGCAAACTCATTTATTTTTGTACATATTGCGAATCGCGTCACGTGAAACGCACCCGCGATTTACAACATATTTATTTTTATTATTATTCGAAGTTGAAGTCAAGTCACGTGAAACGCGCACTTGAGTTGGGGTTTACGTATCGTGATCATGCCACATGAACCATACTCATAGTCACGATGATTTATTAATCGCACCTAAAGCAGCTAGCATGTGTTCATGATTTATTTTTCCTTACGGGTTTGAGATTTGTGTAAGGTCAAGAGCTATGAAAATCAATTGTGGAAAATGGGTCAGCTTTTGCTCTTACTAAATTGGGCATGACAGAAACTATTTTGGACCAGATAAATTAAATTGGATCGTAGTATAATTGGCCATTTAAAGTCAATTAAAGAGTATGACCAGTTACTAGTTCATCAAGCTACTCCCTTATCAATTAGTCAATTGCAGTAGTACATGTTTCATTAAGTAAAGCCCAAACATCGGGACCAATCATTATTTTTTTAAAGTCCAAACCTCATATTTCAATTTCAACTAGCAGACATAGATTTTATCCCCAAAGTTCAAACATTCACTACGTGCCCAAAAATCATATTTTTTTTTATTATCAATCTTCATGTTAATCATCAATAAAGTAGCAAAATTTAACAAAGCTAATGAGACCTAACAATTAATACAGAAAAAAAAATTTAATTTTCATGAATCTAAATAAGATCAAATTAATATTCAAGCATAATATCTTAATAAAACAATGATGAGAGAAATGGAGCTTTACAAGACTGTTTTGAAGCTCTGATAATGGACAAGGATGTAAATGGAGCCTAGACCAAAATCGACAAATGGAGCTCGAACTCGACGACTCAACTTTGGAACTGTTATTTTCTATACAAAAGATGATTGTTTCGCTGGATTTTCGGCTCGTTTTTGTGGTGCTTTTTAGCTTGGTTTCCAGTTGGTTATGGGCTGGAGTTTAGGTGATAAATTGCTGAATTTTTTGAAAGAAAGCCGAAGAAAGAATGACACGAGTAGAAATTCCCTTATCCTAGAAGAAGAAAAATAAATTTCTCTCAATTCCCTCCCCCCGCTTTTTTTTCCCTCCTTCTCTCTCTTTTTTCATCACATTTCTCTTCTATTTATAAAAAAAAATTCGGAATTTTCAGTTATTTATTATTATTATTATTTTTTTAATTAAAAAGAATTTTCACTTTCGATTTTTCTTATTTTTTTTTAAAAAATAATTCCCCACTTTCCTTTACTTTTATTTTTTAATTTCTCACTTTTTTTACTTTTAATATATTTAAAATCCCACTTTTTTATTTATTTTTTTATTTCACACTTATTTTACTTTTCTTTTTTTATTTCCTACTTACTTTTACTTTTTAAAAAAAAAATAAAATCAGATACCCTTAATTTTATTTTTTATTTCCAACTTTATTTTACTTTTCATTTTTAAAATTTTCACATTATTTTACTTTTATTTTTTTTAATTTTTTACTTTCTTTTACCTTTTTTATTAAATAATTTCTACCTACTTTTACTTTTACTTTTAAATTTTATATTTCTACTTTTCTTATTTTTTAATTCCTATCTGAAATTTGTTTTTTAAAAAATTATATTTATTTTCGGTTTTTAATTCATTTTATTTAAAAATAAAGATAATAATAATAATAAAAATAATATTAATAGTAATAATTGACGTTTTAAATTATTAATAATTTTTCTATATATATATATAACAAAGCTACAAAATATATATTAAATTCTGAAAATATTTACATAGTAGAAGGTGATAAAAATTCAAATATAGTCAAAAATTAGGTGCTCACAATTATTATTCCTTCCGGTTCACAATAATTGACTATTTTACCTTTGACACACCCATTAAAAAATTATGAACTCCTAGAGAAAAAAGATGTATTCACTAAATTAACTTTAATTAATTATTATCATGACACATTGGAATATGTAAATAAGGGCAAATTTTGGAAAAATAAAATTAATTCCTTCTTAATCAATTTAAAAAAGAATAAACTCTTTACAAATAAGGAAGCTCTTACTTTTAGGATTCCATAGTATGTTACTCTCTCCGGTCCATAATAAGTAATTTTTTGGTCTTTTTTGTGATCCAAAATAAGTAATTTTTTCATATTTCAAGAATGTATTAATTATTTTTTTCCTACATTGACCTTGGAGTAAAAAGTGTTGGAGTATGTGCTAGGAATGTTTATGTGAAGAGATAGTAAACGTTAATATGGCCAATAGCCAAAAAATTACTTATTTTAGACTGAAGGGAATATATTTTACATCACAAGTTTCAAAATATTTACAGCCATACAAAAGTTATGACATATTTTAAAAACACAAGTTTCAAATTTTTTATTCTTTTTCTTAAACTCCATGTAATGTTCACATGAATTAAAATTGCATGGCAGGTACATTTGTTACCACTTTTATCTTTTTGTTTCAAAATCTCCCTCCATGTGTTTGATTAGCGAGAATGCCCCTTTTTTCACTTTAAGTTATATATAAAATTGGTTATATTCCACTTGGGGAATGATCTCTTATATTTGGAAGAGACTTAGAATAATCTTTTAATGGAGTATATTTTTTTGAGTAGTTTATTTTTAAAAATTTGTTTAAAAGTGTATGTTTGGTCTCCATTAAATAACTCTGACCATTAGATTTAACGTGAACTTTGAAATAAAAATTTAACATATTTTGCCAAAGATTTCTAAAAGTAGTTTATATAAAACACATTTTATACATAAAATTATCAAATCACACATTTTAATTTTTAAAAGATCAAATGTGTTTGATTATATCAAAATCAAAATTTACAAATATTAAAGTACTATTATTTGAGCTGCTAAAATATAGATCAATCAAGATCATACACAGATTTGTGCTGATAAAAAGGATAACCAATAGGATAGTATTTAGATTGAAAAACCTAGAAACCGACATATATAGGACATAAATTAACTATAGTAGATGCCGAATAAGAAGACCAATTTGAATGTTCAAGAAAAAGCAGAACAACTATCAATGCTGAATATTCAAGAAAACAGAATGTGACTCCACCTTCTTATAATGTTAATGTAGAGGGTCAAGAAAAAGAAATAGAAGAAGCAAAAATAAAATTCAAAATTTATGAACAATAATGATAGCTTCTTATTACCCCCTGTGCAGTATGTGTTGGCTCTCATTATATTCTTTATAGTATAATTTATGAATCTTGAAAGCTAGTCCCACTTTAATCATATACTAACAAAGTTAAAGACTATTAAGTTTTGGGAGGATTAATTAATTTAAAGTGACATCATAAAAAAAATTGATATGTATGAATTTTTTTTCAATGGTAGAGGAGAACTTCCTGATGAGAATGATGATGAGGAACAATTATGAATATAATGTGTGTCTGAGAACCCATTAGCAAATATATAATAATACTCAGACCAACTTGCTGAGTACTCCTATTGGTAAGATCTTCGGGGCAACTAATGGACATGAAAGGAAAAAAGTCGAATTACATGAATTTATTGATCGTTAAGGCAGATTATGCCATATTGAAAAATATATGAGAATCACTAGAAGTCTCTCACTGTTTTTTCAGTACCGAAAGCAAAAGAAGAGATTACAACTGCTGCTGCTACTCACAATAATAACTGACAAGTACTCCTTCATCCTTAACTAGAAGTTTCGGGTTCGAGTCTCTGGGTATGGAGTCGCCTTTGTTAGAGAGCGCTTTACCCCTCAATGTGAGACTTTCCAACGCGAGTCCGGATTTAATCGGGCCCCAATATGAATACCGGACACCGGGTGAAAAACCAAAAAAAAAATAAACTGCAAATTAAAAAGAAGGCAAAGGTGTAACTCTTGAAAACATTGTTGGAAATAAGAAATTACAGATTCATAGTGACAACTGACAAAGATATATAAAAGGGTGCAATCAAAGGATTTCAACAAGATTTATGCTTCACCGCAAATTTCTGATTAATTTACAGAAGATATATACTAGTCGTAATATACATTTATATAGTCACCAAATGCACTAGTCAATATTGTCGTGTAAACACCTCAAATGAGAAGAGCACTAGCTTAATTTCAGGTTATAAATGGAACTCGTTGTTGTTGCTAAAAGTAGGTAAAAATATTTGGAAAGCAAATTCTTCATTAGTGTTGGATGAATCTCTGATTTTTTGTTGATCGCAAAAATAATAGCCATATATGATGGTCTTCACACTACTTTTATTATGATGTATATAAAGATTTGGGCTTGTAATAAACTCTAATTTTATTGGCCAAAAAAGTGCTTTTGTGCACTAGCATACTAGCTTTTAAGCAGTTGACAAGATATTAGGAAGGTTAAAATTTAAATTATTATAATCATATACCTAAAATAATACTTTGAAACTAAAAGCTCGACTTACGTGATTGGTCAACAAGTTGAGTTAAATTAGAGATACATTCAATTTGAAGACTCAAAATTTGTTAACTTTCGTCTAATGAATTGTATTGTAATATGTTTCATAACAGCTTACAAAATAATTAACTTGTTGAATTGTGAAATATTACTTCCTTAGTTCAAGAAAAAGTACGTTACATTATTGACATTATAATATAAAATAAATTTTGGTCAGTCAAATTAGCGAGTAAAACATAATGCAAATTTGATTATTGACTCAATTCACAAAATACGTGTCGTATATTAGTTTATTTAACAAATTTTTTCTCATTCAGTGTTTATTATTTTCAATTGGGTAAAATCATTTAACTAGGCTGAATTGGCGCTGCCAACTCAACCAACTTGACTCTAATATTAAACATTAATAAACTATTTCAACTTTATCTGGTTGAGTTATCTTTTTAAATTGACGAGTCATAAATATACTTGTTTAAAACTTTAAATAATTAGTCTTAATTTGGATCAACATTTCTCTAATTTAGAACTTAAGCCCAAATTTTATATGCATTTTATCCAATACATATCTACAGCTTCACTCCTAGAAAGTAGAAACCATATTTCCGCACAATTTTTTTCCCCAAAACCTTTTCAATTATTTTTTCTGGAAAATTCCTATGAATTGCCAAAAAAATAATTTGGAGACGTTAGAACTAACTAACCAACCGACTTAAAAAGTTGGGATAGATTTGGTTATAAAATGAGAATTAGTGGCTCCTTTCTCAGTGAACTCTATTTCTTCTCTCATATCGTTCTCTCTCTCTCTCTCTCAAAATCAAGAATCGCCTGCATTTCATCATTTGGAAAGGAAGATGAGGAAGAAGAGCAAAGTAGATGTTCAAGAAAAAGCACAAGCAAAACCAACTTCATATACTGGTTCAAGAAAGCAGAATCTGATGGCTCCAACAGAAGCCACAAACGAAGCAAATTCATATACATTTCTAGGTCACAAGAACGTGAAAAGGCGGAAGAATATTAATCCATATTATAATGGAGATCGAAATATGTTGATGTATAGGAATTCTTTCCATGTACAAAGTCGTGAACAAGTGATGATCAGAGATAATCTCATGATTGAAAATAAAGAGTCTGTCACTGATGCTGCAAATTACTCAAAATCAAGTAAGGGGAGTGGAATCAAGAATTCATTTAAACAGATGATGATGCGTATTATCAATCGGTAAACACAAGAAACTACTTTTTTTTTTCTTTTTTTTTACTCTTGTGGGTGTTGATTTATTCAATAATTAATCAATTGAGTATATGAATCTTGAAAGTGGGTCTCAATTTAATTGTATACAAACATGGATAAGATCATTAAATTGCATCCTTGCTTCCTAATTTCTTATCTTATATCCAGAACTTGAACAATAATGATATATGAATTCTCTGACTGGGTTTGTTTCTAATTTAATTTAAATATAATCATTTGAGTATATGAATCCATTTTAATTGTATACAAACAGAGATATGGAGTCTTTGCTTCCTTTTGTTATCTTATATTATGGGGATTGGGGAGTGGAATCAAGAAGTTGAAAAACATAATGATACGTAGCGTAGGAACTCTATCATATTTTTTTTTTATCATTGTATTTGCAGAGGCAAACCAGCTAAGGAAGAAGGGCGAGTTTATAGTGTGTTTGAGAAAGCATTAACAGAGAAAGATGTTCAAGGCATGTTGCTGATTCCAGCGAAATTTGCACGCTATTTCCCTTCTTTTGATAAGACCATAAGTAGAACTAATGGACATACAAGGAGGGACGTAGAGTTACAATTTTTTGATCCTGGAGGCACATTTTGGGAGATCAAATGGGTTAAGGATCGTTCACAGTATTTTTTCAGTGGAAAATGGAAGGACATTGTTGCTGAACATGAGTTGAAATCAGGGGATGTTATTATCATTGAGCTTTCACATGACAAGCACTTTCCTATCAGATTTAAGAAGCAGAGAAACATTTTAGTGTGGGAACAACAAGTAGTCAAGGAGTCGGAGTCTACACATTAAGTGTCATCGGTGATTACTGTTTACCGAAATAAAAGAGTTCCTTAAGAATGCAAAAAGATTAATACTTCACTGCAAATTCCCATTTTTAGTTACTAGTAGTAGTATTACTTTCTTAGATCATATTAGTCATGGCAGCACAAATAAATCTTGTTTCATAATTCGCTCAAAATGGAAGAGAGTATTAGATTAGTATGCTGAACAAGTTGTTGATGCACAAGCTTCTTCGTATGTGGTGTCATTCTGTTGATACATTGTGCTCTATAATGTTCCCTTCTTTTGTTTTTCTTATCTCTTTTTTCCATGTTAGCACTTAGCACTGAGATTGGTTGGTATAACATGGAGTTTTAGTCTCCCTAATACTTGAAATTTTGCCCCTGTAATTCTATGATAAGATGGTGATATGCACATTTGGAAAAGAACTGGTTTCATCTCCATATTTGGCACTAATGTATGTTGTCTTTAATTAACACTTTTATACTCCTAATTATTGTTTCTTAGATTATGCTTAGCTTGCTGCATTATTCTTTTGCTTGTTGAAACATAAAAGAACTCATTGCTAGCTGTTGCTAAGACATGAAGTCTTTTAGTAGGAATCATATTTCACAAGTAGGCAGAAATATTTGGAAAATATTTTCTTCAATGTTGGATGAAGTTTCAGTTTTCAGTTGGATATTTATAGTAACGGCAGCTGCAACTGTTAATTGGCTTCCCACTATGAAACTGTTCCTTCTAACTTTTAAGCCGATATTAGTCTCGTGGCTAAAAAACATATTGGTGCAGTGGAAGTTAAAGGCTAATTCTTTCCTGTAACAGTCCGGTTTCCTTGTAATCTGCTTATATATATGGTGCTTTTTATTTTTAGGTTACTTCCCAAAATATACAACTGGTTTTGTTTTGTTCAAAGAGTAATATTCAACCACTCCCTCTGTTTCAATTTAAATGAGGTAGTTTGACTCGACACGGAGTTTAAGAAAACGAAAAATTTTTAAAACTTGTGATCTTAAAAACTTAAGGGTTAAAAGCTTTGTGGGGCATGTCAATTGTGTGATTATAAAAACTTCTCATTAAGAATAAAATTGGTAAAATTGAGAGTTTAAAGTTGAATTATTTCTAAATTTAGAAATGTGTCATTTATTTTGGAACAGACTAAAAAAGAAAGTACTTTATCTAATTTGTAACAGAGGGAGTAGTTCATTTAAAAGGTACTGTAATACCATCTGCCAAGAAGGCAAAAATGCCATCACCGGAGAAAAGCAATTTAGGTGGAAAAAACGACCACAGTGGGAGTCGAACCCACGACCTTCTGATCCGAAGTCAGACGCGCTAATCCACTGCGCTATGCGGTCCCAATATGCTACATTTCAGTGATAGCTTTTAATATCCCAAGTATCGCTAAAACACCCAAAAACCCTAAATTTAAGTGTTGATAGTAACATGAATTAAAACTTAAAATACAATATATTTTTATTTAATGACTAAAGGACGTTTAATATTCGGATATATAAAAATATTATTTAGGTCCTTTAGACCAATTCACTAATTAGCATAAAAAGGGGGCACATGCCACTTCCTGCTTTGAGTTTCAAACTCTCAATCCACATTCACCTTCCACGGATTTCAATTTTATTTTATTTTGATTTGATATTTGAGTGGGTTTTGCAATAGTAACATTAGATTCTCGGATTGCCAAATAATTAAGCCATATTTGCTTCCGTAATACAACAACATACCTAATATTATCCCACATATTTACTTCCGTAATCAAGAAGTCAAATACAAAATAATCCCGTAATTGGGGTGGGGGTAGGAGGAGGTTTGGTTCTAAGATAGAACTCGATAAACATTGCACTTAGTAAGAATTTCAGGGCTAACATTATCGAGTTTCAGTCAGTATCGTCTGTTATTTTATTTAGTTAATTGTATATTGGAAGACCCTACCTAGCTAAATAAATTTCCTAGCCTTATTCTTTTTTCATATTTAAAAAGGTACAAAATGTGGGACTGGCGGATACATACAAATATTACTAGTATATATGTCGCCTTGTTCAGATACATAATAATACTATTGTCATGAAATAAAAGCAATTTAGTAAAACATGAACAAGAAATGGAGATAAAGAGAATGAAGAGATTTTCTTCTTTAAATTGTGTATCTTTACCTATCTATTAAAGGTCTTTATATAGGTATGAAAAGTGAAGAATCACTATTGTAAATATGTCATTGAACATATCATTAAGCATTTGAGAGGAAGATCATGGATTTACAATCATAACTCCATAAGTATTAGAGTAGTGTGAGTTATGGAGATAATGGAGAGGAGTAGACATCCACCATAAATTAATTTTTCTTATAACACTCCCCCTTGGATGTCCATAGATAATGTGCCTCGTTAAAATCTTATTAGGAAAAAACCCTACGGGAAAAAATAATTCTAGTGAAGGAAAAGAAGTACACATTTAGAAATATGCCTTTTGGTTACTTCGTTAAAAACCTTGCAAGAAAAACCCAATGGGACAAAACCTTGTAAGGGAAAAAGAGTACAACACGTATTAACTCCCCCTGATGAGAGCATCAATTCGCATCGTTGAGCCTTCGCATCCCAATCTTATAGACTAGTTTCTTGAAAGTTGACGTCGGTAGAGATTTGGTGAACAAATCAGCCATATTATCACTTGAACGAATCTGTTGCGCATTGATATCACCATTCTTTTAAAGATCATGTGTGAAAAATAACTTTGGTGAAATGTGCTTTGTCCTATCTTCTTTTATGAATTCTCCCTTCAATTGGGATATGCATGCTTCATTGTCTTCCTACAAAATTGTGGGTAATTTATCACACTTCAAACCACATTTGTCTCGAATAAGACGTATTATAGATCTCAACCATACACATTTGCTTCATGAATAGCAATTATCTCAGCATGATTAGATGAAGTAGCCAAGATTGATTGCTTAGTCGATCGCCAAGATATGACAGTGTCTCCACATGTAAATACATAGCTTGTTTGAGATCAGGCCTTGTGTAGGCCAGATAAATACCGAGCACTGGCATAACTAACAAGATCGGGATTGCAATCACTGCCATATAATAAGCCCATATTGGTAATTCCTTTTAGATACCGCAATATGTGTTTGATTCTATTCCAATGTTTAATTGTAGGAGAAGAGCTATATCTTACTAAGACATTAACTGAAAAAGTTATGTCAGGTCTTATAGTGTTAGCAAGATACATTAGTGCACCAATTGCACTAAGATATGGTACTTAAGGACCAAGAAACTCTTCATTATTTTCATGAGGTCAGAATGTATCTTTATTTATATCAAGCGATCTCACAACCATCGAGTTACTCAATGGATGTGTTTTATCCATATAGAATCGCTTTAAAATCTTTTCAGTGTATGCTAATTGATGGACAAAAATTATATCTTTTATATACTCAATTATTAGACCAAGACAAAATTTTGTCTTTTCAAGATCTTTCATTTCAAATTCTTTCTTTAAACAATCTACTGCTTTAGGAAGCTGGGGTCCCCAGGAGTTCAAATGATATTTATATCATCAACATACACGGCGATTCTAATAAATTCAGATCCAGATCTTTTTATAAAGACACAAGGACAAATTGAATCATTCTTGTACCATTCTTTCAACAGGTACTTACTTAGGCGATTATACCACATGCACCCTAATTGTTTCAATCCGTATAAAGATTTTTGAAACTTTATTTAATAAATTTCTTAGAAACCTTAATATGTTTCAGAACAATTTAAATCCTTCAATGATTTTCATTATACGCATATCAAGTTTTTCATGTATTGCTAGATTAAAACCTGAAATGACTACATCCACCACAGGAGAACATGTCTATATGTAATCAGTGCCAGGATATTTAAAATTTTCTTGTGACACAAGTCGTGTTTATGTCTATCGACTTGACTTTTTTCGAACAAGAACACATTTATACCTCCACTGGCTTTATACTTTTAGGTGTTGGGATTATCCGTCCAACTTCATATTTTTCAGGTGAAGTCAATTTTCATTGCGTATTTTTTATTTGGACAATCATTTATCTGTCCAAATTTCATGACAGATTTGAGCTCAATATCCTCGTCAATAATATTTAGCGCTATATTATATTAACAATATCGTCGACGATCATTTTATGTCGGTTCCATTATTACCCAATAAAGACATAACTTAATGAGATCTCTTTATCTCATTATTTTCAAGTACT